GAGGTGGATTCACTTTGAACGCCGGGGCCGCGGTTTTCGTTCCCCAGGCCTGCGGTTGCCCTCTGGTAGTGTGTTGCAGCACGCGCGGCTTCTTGCACTTTTTTGTTGGCAGCTTGCCTGCATTGCGAGGCGCAACAAGCCATCATCACCTGCATGCTGCTTGTGCTAATGCCTCTACAAGGCATGGCAAGAATGCTGGCTGATGGAAACATATGGAAACATTCGCAATCTGCGGCACAGTGAGGTGCACTGGAGCCTTCCTTCACGCCATTGATGCCTCCAGCCCCTCTAGGAGGCAGAGAAGCATCCTTTCAGCATCTTCTGCTGCCAGAGGAGTATTCACAGGCAACTTCCACCTTGGCTTCTGGCGCTCTTGAGCAATGGGGCACGGGCATCGAACAGCAATTTGAAAGAGTTGGAGTGCGCACGCGGGTGTGTCCCAAGATGGGACTTGAAGCATCAGACATGGTGTGCGACGCTGCGAACACGCGGCGTGGCCAACTCCATTTTTCTTCTTTACCAGCCGAGCACAGGAGCTTGCCAAGCTGTGTGAAAGAGGTGGGCCATCTTTTTGTATTCTGTTGGATACAGGCACAGCGGCACAGCCGACACATCTCATAGCCTAGTCGTTCCGATTCAAGCCTCTGGCCCTCCGATTCGTTTCAATACACTTGGAACCAAGGACGTCAACCCAGTGAAGCCTCAACCCTGAACTCTGAACATCCCCACGGTCAATCCCCAGTCGTGCAGTTCCATTTCACTATTCTTGTCTTCGCGGCAGTCATAAACCCCGTTCATCCCGAAGGTCTGTCAATTCGCCCTCTACTCTGCAAAAGGACCATGACTCTGCAAATGCACCCGTTGTGTTGCGAAGCGCTTTGGCCCAAACGCGAGTCGTACGACCACCCTGCCGTGTGGAGGACTGCGCCGCCCGTTGCACAAAAGCCTACTTGGAGATTCATGGGTAGCTATAAGTAATGTTGTAAAGTTGTAGGTATGGTAACCTATACCCTAAACCCTGAACCCTTAACCCTAAACCCTTAGCCAGAAAACCCTACTTATAGCTACTCTTGAACCTCCAAGTAGACCCTGAAGGCAGGTTTGAAGACTCGAACAACTCCCTGGCGAACTGCCGGCCCTAAACCCGAAACCCTTAACCCTAAACCCCAAACCCAACAAAACCCGAAACCCTAAGCTCGAGGACTCCATCGCCCATCCTCTCCTTTGCGAAACTGAAGACATGGCGTCCACGGCTGGGAGCCCACATTGGGGCTACGGAGGTTCATTCAGGGGCCAACCTAGCGTCCGGGGTTTTAGGGTTTAAGGCACAAGGTTCGAAGAACCCTTTTAGTTCCCTGGGAACCCGAACCCTCCCTCAACCCTCAACGAGCGTTTATAGGGTTTAAGGTTAGGGCCTAAACTTCAACCTTCAACCCTCAAACCCTCAACCCTCAACCCTAGCTGCCCCAATGAGAGCCCTCGAAGCCCGCGAGCTTGATGCAATGCCGCGCTAAATGTGGTGCACAGGGGATTTGGCCACCTTCCAGGAAAGGGGGATTTCTTTTTGCTCGGGTTTAGGACTTAGTTTTTTTTAGGGGGGCGGGGGGGGGAAATCCTATGGAGAGAGTGGGTAGTTGCCAACCTGACCCTTAAACACATTGACGGTTGCCGAAGCCTTGAAGAAACTAGGTGCCTCTGCTGCGCCCAGTGATGACCTTCCAGTTCGTCGCTGAGATTGTGTCACGCCGCGTCGCGCGTGTAAGTTTATCAGCAATGTATTCAATTTCTGCAATCTCTCTGGGCCAGCCAATCATGCTCGCAAGGCTGCCGAAACTTCCAAAGATCACCGCTCGGGTGTCCTCGTTTGCCCAGTGGCAAAGGTTCATAATGTGCAACAGCAGCATCTTCCTGGTTTGCAGCAACGTTAGAACGCTCATGTTATGTCTTCTGTTACCTGAGATGCCCAGTGAGAAACGACCCACCACAAGATGCTTCATATGCCTCCAAACATATTTCTCCGCCTCATCCTCAAGGCTCCTCTTGGATACATTGCGCCACGGAAGGCACCTTCCGTTTTTTTTTTGACATTGCAGACAAGTCAGACAGCAAGCAAACCGTACACCTCCGAGAAAGAAGAGCGTGCCCCCGAATCAGATTCCGTTGTTCTGCCAAGCGTTAGTGCTGAAATGCCTTCAATGACAACTGGGCTCCATTCAATGCTCAGCCAGTGAAAATTTTGGTAGGACCCTTAGCCGAGGAATGGGAGCGGAGGGCGGGAGCAGCTTATTTACGTTCTGTTATGGTTGATTTTTGTTGCTGCGTTGCCGGTTGTTTGGACATGAAGGGTTTGCGCCGCATTCGTGCGTTTCAGAAGGCTCTGGAATCACAACGACCGGTGGGAATGTTGTAGAGACATTGTAGAAGTTACAGGGATGATCGACAAGTTGCGGTGATGATGGCCGCGATCTCAGACGATACCTCCCCATCTTCTGCAGGCCACGATCTCCGTCGGTGCCCCGATCTACTTACCTGCAAAGGTGCGTTGCCATGCTCAACATTTCTTACCCAGGCCCACAATCGGAACTTGCATCCATGCCCTGCTTCTGCAGGCCACGACCACCATCGGTGCGCCGATCTACCTGCCGCCGATCAGGATTCCGGCAAAGGTGCGTTCCTGCGCTCATCTATTTCTTACCCATAGTAAGCCACAAACGAGGTTGTCATTGATTTATCACCGCCCGCCTGCTGCGAACCGCGGCGAAGGTTCCCACTGGTCAGCTCCCTCCCATCACTCCGGCCCAGGCACGTGCTGCAGATTGGCAAACGTTTTCAACAGTTTCAACCCTGCAAATCCGCACCCTTGAACACTCGGAAGCGTACTCCTGTGCAGAATCCTTCCCCGAATGCCAGCCGGGCAGCGCCAGCGACGTCCTCAGAATGCTGCGGGAAGCACTTGGGGCACTTCAGACTGTAGGTTTCACCCTAAAGGCCGAGACCACAAACTCATTAGTGTGAGAGTCGAAATCCTTAAACCATGAACCCTACACCCCCTAGAAGTCCTGCATCATTCAACGCTGAATCTCCCCGCCCGACAGCTCCAAACTTCGACGCCCAACTGTGACACAGAGGCCCCTCAATCCACCCGAAGGTTAATTTATAGGGTATTATGGGGCTTTATAGATTCTTGGAAGAGTGGCACCTTTCCTTGGTGGCACCCCCGCAGCCAGGCCAACCGCCTGGGTTTAGGGCTTGGAGTTCAGGAGATGCCCCTCCAACCAACACTTGAGGATGCAGAACGATTAGGCTTCAGATGTAGGATACGTTTTAAGATGTGTTGTTTTATAGGGCTCAGGTGGTCTCGCGCGATCGTTTTTTTTGCATGGGAAGGAGCATGTGCCAAGCTCGCAAGTGTGCGTGCACACACACACACACACAACGCATGCCATTTGAGGGCGGATGCACAAGTTACCGTCGCCGAAGTATGTGCCGCCTAGAACGTAGAACCTGCAATCCTAGCTTTTGCTAGGCGGTAGCTAGGGTTGGTGTTGCACGCAAAATAATCTAAAGCCCAAAAGCATGAACCCTAAAGCCCGCTACGTGCTGAGAGTTCTCCCTAACCCATCCTAACCCTAGACTCCAAATTCTAAACCCCAAACCCAGCACGGTGAAGCCCCAGTGGGCTTCTACCTTAGGGTGGCCAAGTTGGCGCAGAGGCCGTCTCAGAGGCCTCCGAAAACTTCGACGCTGACGCCCGTGCACGCGCCCCAGCATGTGGGCATGGGTTTTCCAAGCGCGTGCTATTGGCTAAGTGGATGAGTCGCATTCTGGAAGTGCTCGCGCCTTTCACATGGGAAAGGCCGGAGGGAAGCGCTTCCCCGGGCACTGAAAGGCGGCAAGCCAGCAGGCTTCTGGACCAGGCCAACTACAAAAACGCATAAATCTTGTGAAGTACCTTCTGCAGGCTGCAGCAGAAGATTTCGCCTCCTCCGCCAGCAGACTTGGAAGTTGTGCAGCTTGCGCTACTCGCTACTCTGCATGCCAGCCCTGAGGGTGAGAATTACTGAGGCGTACTTTGGCTGAGTCCAAGCCGCAGGCCTCGAAGCCGAAGGCTTCAAAGCCGAAGGCCGCGACACCCCGAACATGTTTGCACAACGATGGCAGATTGCAAATTGCAAGCGAAGGAGTCCTCACACATCGAGGAGTCAAGGTCTGGCTTTGCTTCGCTCAAGCTGTGGCTTGAGCTGTGTTGCGCTTCGCCAACAATAACAATAACAATAACAATAACAATAATAATAATAACAATACATTCTGCCTTATAAGGGTATTTTAGGGGTTATTATGTTTTATTCTTTTGGGGTTCTTAAGTCAATAGTAGTCATAGGGCTCGCCATCTTTGGAGGGAGGTTTGGGCGTGTAGGGTTTAGGGTTGGGATGTTCCCGCTTATACTAACCGCCCTTAGTGGGGATTGTAATCGGGGCTGCTCTAAACACTATGAAGGACTGTTAGTATAAGGGGGAACATCCCAAGTTTAGGGTCCGGGTTTAGGGTTTAGGGTTTAGGGTTTAGGGTAATTGTCCTGAGGTATCAAGCAAGCCAAAAAGCACCCTAAACCCTGAACTCTAAACCCAAAGTGGTACAGGCCACAGGCCTTCTAGGAGCCCTACAGCCTCAACCGTATAGTCCCGAAAACGATGAAACCCTAAAAAACTCGATGAACTCTATAAGCTCTACGAGCTAAAAACTCATACCCACAAACCCGAAACCCTGAAACCTTAGAACTCCGATAAGCCCTATATAAACCCCAAAAGCCCTAGAAGCCCTAAAATCTGAAAACCCTATAAACCCTGCAAAGGTTACAAGCCCTGACCCCCCAACAATTCATAACCGCTATGAACCCCCAAGCCCTAAACCCCAAACCCCAAACCCTAAACCCTCAACCCTAAACCCTAAACCCCAAACCCTAAACCCAAACGCTGGCTTGGGTGTCTCGGGCGCCAAGGGCCAGCGAAGACGTCCCCGCTGCGGCCACGGAGACGGTCGAGGCGCCAGAGCCGCTGGAGGTGCGACGGTTCAGGGTTTAGGGTTTAGGGTTTAGGGTTTAGGGTTTAGGGTTTAGGAGGGCTACTTGGAGAGTCATGGGTGCCTATAAGGGCTATTCTAGGTCAGGTGACTATAGCTTATTTTTATGATACTGAGAACCCTACAGAAAATAGACCTTCAAGAAGGGTCGAGAGTCTGTTGGTGTAGGGTTTCGGGTCTTACGGTTCCTGAGGGTCATACTTGGAGGTTCATGGGTAGTCATAAGTAGGGGTATTAGTAGGCGAGGGTAGCTGTACTTATAACCTTGCTTAGGGTACTTATAACACTACTTATAGCTACCCATGAACCTTCAAGTAGTCTGTTGGTGTAGGGTGGGGTGTTTGCGGTTCTGATGGGTTTTTTAGGGCTGGATTGCTGGGTAGGTGTTGCGTGCAGGGCTTAGGCCCCTTCTTATCCCCAATCCGTGTGTCAACAACACCTTGGAATTGCGACATTCAGAGCGTCAACACCTAGTCGATCGCTCAGAGTACTCAGGGTCTCGGGCTAGTCGTCCGTGACCCATCGCGCTCTGGCCTGCTTGAAAGCTCATGGGTAAGCAGTTAAAACTGGTGTTATAAATACCCTAAACAAGGTTATAGCTTCTAGCCCAGTTCTAACCAGTTCTCTAAACCCTAAACCCTAAACCCTAAAACCCCACAGAAAACCACCCATGAAGCTCCAAGCACATCCCGCTCTGCTCACACCTCGGCGAAGGGCGCCTGATCCTCTTCCTGGTCATTAGTAGGGAATGAGGGAGTTGGGTATCTTAGGGTTTAGGGTTTAGGGTTTAGGGTTTAGGGTTTAGGGTTTAGGGTTTAGGGTTTAGGGTTTAGGGTTTAGGGTTTAGGGTGTAACCCCTTGAAGGGTACATTCGGGTAGTTCTCTAAATTGAGCCCTTTATTTTTTGCGGGCGGGGTCCTTCTAAAACAGGTGCCCTACTATGTAGGGGACCCAAACAGGGACCCTAAATTAGAGAACTACATATATGGGGAAGAGGAAGTGCTCCCTCATTGCGTACTAAGAACCAGTAGCTCCTCGTCAAGGGGAAATGGTGATCGCTTTGGGGCCTCATCGTTCGACGAAGTCTTGCGGCTTGCCGACGAATTTCTCTGGGCTTCAAGATGAGGAGAGCATGAGGTTCAGGTTCGAGTTTTTGGGGCCTTAAATCCTAGGAGGAATCTAGGATTTAGGGTTTTTAACGTTAAAACAACCCCCAAGTTTGAGTTTTTGGGGCCTTAGACCTAGGAGGAATCTAGGATTTGGGAAATGGCGCCAGGGCTTCAGGGGGTTTAGCCCTGCAAAGCCCTGAGCTGGAGGAAGCGCTTGCGCCTGCTTCGTTGGACCCAGGCGCTCTACACCCTCAACCCTTCAACCCTAAACCCTGAATCCTAAACCCTGAATCCTAAACCCTAAACCCTAAAAACCTAAACCCTAAACCCTAAACCCAGGCTTAGGGCTTGCGTTTCGGGCCTTGGCGGTTGTGGGGCGATTCTTGATGGTTCAGGGAGCTTGCGGGCCGGCTCGGGGGTGGGGAGCCTGATGCAAGAAGAGTTGACTTGGAGGTTCATGGGTAGCTTTAAGTAGGGTTTTCTATATATATATATATATATATATATATATATATAGGTAGGGTAGCCTTACTTATAACCTTACTTAGGATACTTATAACCCTACTGATAACCACCTATGAACCTCCAAGATCCTCCAAGCAGGTTTAGGGTGGGTGGACATTGTGAAAGACAAGGCCTGGACCCCAAGAATGCGTGACCGAAACGTTTTCTCGTTGAATTGAGTTTTACCCCTAAACCTTAAACCCTAAACCCTGAACCCTAAACCCAAAACCCAAAACCCTAGCCCTAAACCCAAACCCTAAACCCCAAAGTCCAAGGGATGGCAGAAGCAAGGTTCCGCCGAGAGCTGCAGGGCGATTTTTGCTCATGAATCGTTGGATTCCAGGGATTAGGGGTTAGGGTTCGCAGGTTTAGGGTTTAGGGTTTAGGGGTTAGGGTTCTTAGGGTTTAGGGTTTAGGGTTTAGGGTTTAGGGTTCGGGGGTTTAGGGTCTTAAGTACCCCGATGTTGGCTATAATTCTCGATTGCGGCTGCAGGTGTGGTGGAAAGCTTTGGGGAGATGCGACGACCTGAGCACAGCTACTGGCTGCGAGGGCTTTGTGGCGTTTAGCGGTTGTATATGTGAAAGAACATAACAATGCAAAAGCACCCATGAACATACTAGAAAGATATTGAGCAAATGCCAAAAGACTTAGATGCAAATCATTCTACAGCACTTTTTACGGCATTGTTGATGACGTGTAAGGCGCGCGAGGAAAGACAAGTGTACGTTTTACAACCTTATCAAAAACCATACGAGAAACAAATTTGGCAGTAAGCCCGCCTCCAGAATGATAAACTTGTGCGCGCATTAGTTTCTTATGTTGGAGCCTTAAACCCTAAACCTAGGTCTTAAATCCTCAAGACAAAGAATGAACTGCACGTGGTTCATGTCGAACAACACAGCGGTTTCGAAAAACATTGAAGCTGATGCTCCGGCAAGCAACGAGTTGAAGTACATGGAAACATGCTTGCCCTGCAAATAAATGAAAAAGTACGTTGGTTCTGTGCCCAGAAAACTTATGGTTTCGGGAAGCTGCAAAACCTTACGGGAGCCTTAAAGACACTGACGAGACGCACAGGCGCTCAGCGAAAGGAAAGCCGCCCAACAAGCGAAACAAAAGCCGCCCCAACCCCGGGTAAAAAAACCCTGCAAACAACCCTAAATCATTATGCAACTTCTCTAAACCCTAAAGACCCTAAACTCAAAAAAACTAGAAACCCTCAACCCAAAACCCAAAATACCCTCAAATCCAAACGGTTCTATAAACTGAGGCCAGCCGCGCAGCCCGCGGAGCCGCCCGAGGACATCAGCTTGACAATTAGGGTTGAGGGTTTAGGGTTTAGGGTTTAGGGTTTAGGGCTACTTGAAGGTTCATGGGTTTTGAGAAGTAGGGTAATTGTCATTCTAAATGGGGTTCGAACTGTAGTCCCACACTTCTAACCTACATGACTACCGTGGGGTTTCGGGGTTAGGAATTTTCTGGTCTAGGAATTTATGAGTAGCTTCAGGGTTCGGGGATCACATGGCTTTTGCGGGTAGGATACCGTGCTGTGCTGCGCCAAGTGTACTAGAACTAAGGTTTGGAGTCAAGGGTTCATCTTTGGGTTTTGGTTTGGGGTTTAGGGGTAAGGTAGCTAAACTGAATCGGCTTTTGGGCGTAGATTGATACGATACTTCAGGTCCTGAAGAGAAGTGGATGCAAAGTGTACAGACAAGAGACGCTTTTGTGTTTAGGGTTTGGTTGTAGGCTAAGGGGAACATCAACATGGGCCGTGTGACATGAGACCTACCTAAAAATGTCCCTAAACCCTCAACCCTAAATCCTAAACCCTAAACCCAGGGCTTTTCATCTACAAACAGCCTCACCCCCCCCCCTCCCCAAATATTTAAGAAGTTGCCGAGGAGCGATCGCAATTCTTGGAGGAATTGGAAGAAGCCTTCTGAGAAGGTTAGGGCTTCCACCTACCCAGGCGAGAAGATGAATGATTGAAAGAGATTAGTGCTAATATGAATTCTTAGGTTTTTTGGATGAATATAATAAATACATATGTATATATATATACATGTTTTTAGATAGAGAGAGAGAGAGAGCGGCCTGTCATGGGGCCTGCGTTTTGCATCGTGAGTGTTTTGCGAATGGTGCGTGCACCCAGCATACAAGTCGCGATCATGTCGTCGAAGTACCCCATGTCGACGATGTTATTTAAAGCTTTTGGTTGAAGCCAGCAAGACATACTGAGTGGGATGCGTTTCGTGAACCGAAGCGTTAAATGAACTGGAGTCCACATGCCGGATGAGCGGGGGAGGAGGAATATTTGTTGGATCTAAACCTTAAAGATTATTCATATGAGGTTTCAGCCTAGAAAAAAATTATCGGACCCTACTCCTAGATTATTATATTTAAGATTTCCGGACCAAAATTTGCTATTTTATTCGTGGAACTTTATTTCTACAAAATCTATTCTTAAATTCTATTCGTTTAAGATTTAGGACCAAAAAAACACTTACGTCGTACTTCTAGGAGATATATATATATAATCTGATAAATATTCGGATATATTCTTTTCTGGAAAGAATAATATGTTATCTCTAGGAATGGATATAATATTTATGATTTTTTAGAAATTTTTAAATTTCAATCGATTCATAAATATGGAAATTAAAAAACCTTATATATAAGTTCTATCATATGTTCATAGATATTAGAAAAAATGATATTATGAAATAGGATTCATCATGAGAATAATGAAATATCAAATCTATATGAAAGATTTTATATAGAAATTTGATATATATATATATATAATTAGATTTTTTATGATTGGTTTTTGTATATATATATATATATACATAGAATAAAACTTGGATTATTAGGAGATCAATTGATTTCTATGGGAATTTTGTCGGATGGTTGATCTTATGGGTTTTTTCATATAATTCGGAAAGATGGGAGGATGGTTTTATTGTCGGGAGAAGGGGTCTTTGATTGATCATTATTTTATCATTGGAATTATGATAATTCATT